GGTTAGAGTTTCGCCTTTTATGAAGGACTTCCGGGTAGTCCCTAAAAACCCGGCCAGGAATCGTCTTGGTGTCCGTGGCACACGACCAGGCTTATTCAGACTCATTGACATATCTCTCGCGGAGAGGGTATGAATGATATGAGTCTGTCCTGTACGTGCATGAGCGTTACGCTCGCCACGGCTCCACCAGGATGGTTCCTGGTCGCGCGCGCGCGAATAGACATTCATTTCATCAATTCAACGTGATTTATTCGAAAGGAAAGGAACGCAAAAAAAAAACTATCACGACGAGTCTATTCGATTGAAAAGCGTTGAACACGATGATTAGCATTATCGACGACATAGAGATTGCCATGTCGATCGAAGGACAAACCGACTGGGTCATTGAACTGATTTGCTCCTAGACCATTTCCACCCACAATGACAGTGCCCTGTTTCGCTCCTTTAGGCCAACGCATCACTCGATTATTCTTCAAGTCTGCCACATAGATGGTACCCAATGTATCGACGAATAGTCCTAGAGGATACGACAATTGTGTTAGTTCATTCCCTTTGCCTTGACCTCCAGCGACAACAATTCCTTCTTTTGCACCTTTATTCCATTTCATTACACGATGATTGTTGTTGTCTGACACGTAGACAGTCTGTTGTTGATCGACAAAGATGTAGGTCGGAAAGTTGAGTTGATTGAGACCAGCACCTCTGCCATTGCCACCAGCTACAAGAGTTCCATTCTTGTCTCCTATTTGATATCGTCTTACTTCATGTTTGCCGATGTCAGAGATGTAAAGATATCTCTGATCATCCATGCCCAATCCCCGACAACTGATGTTGTCGAAAAGAATTTCTCCTTGAGTTGTACCACTACGACGAGACCATCGTACAACTCGTCGATTCTCTGGATCACAAATAATGAGACTATGCGTCTCTTTGTCGATCAGAAAATCGGTTGGTTCATGCAATTGATCCAATCGATTTCCTAGGCCATTGCCACCAGCTACTACTTGTCCATTCTTATCACCCATCTTCCATTGGATGATACGATGATTCCAGCAGTCAGCAATGACAATCGTTTGATCATCATCAATGAAGAGACCATAAGGCCCGCTGAGTTGATCGGTGGCACTGCCCCATCCATGACCTCCAGCAACAGTCGTCGCATTCTGTGCCCATCGGGTATCAACTGGAATATTGAGAATTACTACAATGAACAAAAAAGAAAAGAAATCGTCGTTATCGAAGGGATCTCGTCTCTTGTGGGAGCAAGCGCTACAAATACGACATTCGTCTTTGAGAATGCTCGTTCCGCAGATAAAAATTCAGAAGTCTTTTCCAAGTTTTCTATGAGAAAAAAAGGATTTGGTAACGATTCTTACATCTATGTTACTTCTAGTTCTTGCCAAGATCTTTTTGATCATAAAAATAATACCTGGAGATTGCTGTAAGGAGGTTCTCCAAGAAAGAGTAATACTAATTCCATGTAAATTTTTGATAGAAAAACATAAGGATCTGAGGATTTTTTCAGAATTGCA